TATTCAAGCCACTGCAAGGAAATCTGGCCTCCTTTCAAGTTAGGGCTTCTCGCTGTATATTCCACTTGAGGCAGCAAACTCGGGGTCCCTCCCACATACCTATTGCTGAGGAAGCCTCCTCTTTCGGTGTTTCTGGAATGTTGGCATAAGTGTTGAGTCTAAGCCAGGGAATCAGCTCTCATCTCGAGACAATTTGGGGTACACGGAGCATTCCTCGAGTTGCTGTGCTGAAGTTGGTGTTCTTCTAGACTTGGGACAGTGTTCTCGGGGAATCTCTGGAGTTGCCTGAAGGAAGTCGAGCCAATGGTCGTGTTTAATGGGGAATGGGGAATGGCTCTGGAATCATTGCAGGTGAATCAATCCTCTTCTCGAGTTGATTTGGGGCACGTGGAGCTGCTTTGCATTGCTGGGGTGACCTCAGGGTCCGTCTAGACTTGTGACAGTGTTCTTGGGGACTGTCTTGAGATCCATTAACCAAGTCGAAGCTCCTTACATGTTTGATGGAGATCACAGAATCGCTCTGCATTAAATGCAGCGGAATCGGGCCTCATCCAACTTCTAGGGGGAAGTCACATGGTTTTGCTCGATTTTCGGTGGCGACCTGGGGTATCTTCTCGAGTTAAGGCGGGGATGGCCCTTCAAAACACGTGTTTATATAGTGATGTCACGTCTCCTGTCCAGTAACGAGGGACACGTCAGGAATCTCTTTGAGGCTTGGCAGGGTAAAACGAACGCTTCTCGAGGTAAGGCAGGGCACCCAAGGACCCTTTCCAGTAGTCACAGGGATTTGGGGATTCCTAACAATGTTCAAGAGGAGTCATGCATCGTCACCCTTTGAAGTAGTGATCTCCGAGTGCCTCTCGATGTGTCAAAGGGATGTGAGGCATTCCGTCAAAATGAGGCAGGGACCTAGATCTTTCTCTAACGTCTCGACAGGGGATTCAGACATCCCTTCCTGTTGTGACATGAAAGACGAGCCTGTATTCACACCACTGCAAGGAAATCCGGCCTCCTTTCAAGTTAGGGCTTCTCACTGTATATTCCATTTGAGGCAGCAAACTCGGGGTCCCTCCCACATAACTATTGTTGAAAGAAGCCTCCTCTTTCGGTGTTTTTGGAAAGTTGGCATACGTCTTGGGCCTAAGCCAGGGAATCAGCTCTCATCTCGAGACAATTAGGGGTACATGGAGCATTCCTCGAGTTGCTGTGCTGAAGTTGGTGTTCTTCTAGACTTGCGACAGTGTTCTCAGGCAATCTCTGGAGTTGCCTGAAGGAAGTCAAACCACTAGTCCTGTTTAATGGGGAAAGGGGGATGGCTCTGGAAGCAATGCAGGGGAATCGGGCCTCATCTCGAGTTGATTTGTTGCACATGAAACTGCTTTGCTTTGCTGGGGTGACGTCAGTGTCCGTCTAGACTTGTGACAGTGTTCTTGGGGATTGTCTCGAGATCCATTCATCTAGTGAAAGCTCCTTACATGTTTGATGATGGTCACGGAATTGTTCTGCATGCAATGCAGGGGAATCGGGCCTCATCTCGCATCTAGGGGGATGTCTCCTGGTTTTTCTCGACTTGCGGCGGGGACCTGGTGTATGTTCTTGAGTTACGGTGGGGATGGCCCTTCAAAACACGTGTTTATTCAGTGACGTCAGGACTCCTGTCTAGTAACGAGGGACACCTCAGGAATCTCTTTGAGGCTTGGCAGGGCAAAAAGGGACGCTTCTCGAGGTGAGGCAGGGCACCCAAGGTCCCTTTCCAATAGTTACATGTATTCTGGGATTCCTAACAATGTTCAAGAGGAGTCTTGCATCGTCACTCTTTGAAGTAGTGATCTCCGGGTTCCTCTCGATATGTCAAAGGGATGTGAGGCATTCCGTCAAAATGAGGCAGGGACCTAGATCTTTCTCTAACGTCTCGACAGGGGATTCAGACATCCCTTCATGTTGTGAGATGATAGACGAGCCTGTATTCACGCCACTGCAAGGAAATCCGGCCTCCTTTCAAGTTAGGGCTTCTCGCTGTATATTCCATTTGAGGCAGCAAACTCGGGGTCTCTCCCACATAACTATTGTTGAAAGAAGCCTCCTCTTTCGGTGTTTCTGGAAAGTTGGCATACGTCTTGGGCCTAAGCCAGGGAATCAGCTCTCATCTCGAGACAATTAGGGGTACATGGAGCATTCCTCGAGTTGCTGTGCTGAAGTTGGTGTTCTTCTAGACTTGCGACAGTGTTCTCAGGCAATCTCTGGAGTTGCCTGAAGGAAGTCAAACCACTAGTCCTGTTTAATGGGGAAAGGGGGATGGCTCTGGAAGCAATGCAGGGGAATCGGGCCTCATCTCGAGTTGATTTGTTGCACATGAAACTGCTTTGCTTTGCTGGGGTGACGTCAGTGTCCGTCTAGACTTGTGACAGTGTTCTTGGGGACTGTCTCGAGATCCATTCATCTAGTGAAAGCTCCTTACATGTTTGATGATGGTCACGGAATTGTTCTGCATGCAATGCAGGGGAATCGGGCCTCATCTCGCATCTAGGGGGATGTCTCCTGGTTTTTCTCGACTTGCGGCGGGGACCTGGTGTATGTTCTTGAGTTACGGCAGGGATGGCCCTTGAAAACATGTGTTTATTCAGTGACGTCAGGACTCCTGTCTAGTAACGAGGGACACCTCAGGAATCTCTTCAAGGCTTGGCATTACAAAAGGGACGCTTCTCGAGGTGAGGCAGGGTAACCAAGGACACTTTCCAGGAGCCACAGGGATTTGGGGATTCCTAACATTGTTCAAGAGGAGTCAGGCATCGTGACATTTTCAAGCAGTGAACTCTGCCTGCCTCTCGAGGTGCCAAATGAATGTGAGGCATTCCGTCACAATCAGGCAGGGACCTAGAGCTTTCTTTAAGGTCTCGACAGGGGATTCAGACATCCCTTCATGTTGTGAGATGAAAGATGAGCCTGTATTCAAGCCACTGCAAGGAAATCTGGCCTCCTTTCAAGTTAGGGCTTCTCGCTGTATATTCCACTTGAGGCAGCAAACTCGGGGTCCCTCCCACATACCTATTGCTGAGGAAGCCTCCTCTTTCGGTGTTTCTGGAATGTTGGCATAAGTGTTGAGTCTAAGCCAGGGAATCAGCTCTCATCTCGAGACAATTTGGGGTACACGGAGCATTCCTCGAGTTGCTGTGCTGAAGTTGGTGTTCTTCTAGACTTGGGACAGTGTTCTCGGGGAATCTCTGGAGTTGCCTGAAGGAAGTCGAGCCAATGGTCGTGTTTAATGGGGAATGGGGAATGGCTCTGGAATCATTGCAGGTGAATCAATCCTCTTCTCGAGTTGATTTGGGGCACGTGGAGCTGCTTTGCATTGCTGGGGTGACCTCAGGGTCCGTCTAGACTTGTGACAGTGTTCTTGGGGACTGTCTTGAGATCCATCAACTAAGTCGAAGCTCCTTACAGGTTTGATGGAGATCATGGAATGGCTCTGATGCAATGCAGGGGAATTGGGCCTCATCTCGCCTCTAGGGGGAAGTCACATGGTTTTTCTCGATTTTCCGCGGCGACCTGGGGTATGTTCTCGAGGTACAGCGGGGATGGCCCTTCAAAACACGTGTTTATTCAGTGACAACAGGACTCCTGTCTAGTAATGAGGGACACCTCAGGAATATTTTGAGGCTTGGCAGGGGAAAAGGGACGCTTCTCGAGGTGAGGCAGGGCACCCAAGGACCCTTTTCAGGAGCCACAGGGATTTGAGATTCATAACATTTTTCAAGAGGAGTCAGGCATCGTGACATTTTGAGGCAGTGAACTCCGCCTGCCTCTCGAGCTGCCATATGGATGTGAGGCATTCCGTCAATGAGGCAGGGACCTAGAGCTCTGCTAAGGTCTCGACAGGGGATTCAGACATCCCTTCATGTTTGAGATGAAAGACGAGCCTGTATTCAAGCCACTGCAAGGAAATCCGGCCTCCTTTCAAGTTAGGGCTTCTCGCTGTATATTCCACTTGAGGCAGCAAACTCGGGGTCCCTCCCACATACCTATTGCTGAGGAAGCCTCCTCTCTCGCTGCCTCTGGAAAGTTGGCATAAGTTTTGAGTCTAAGCCGGGGAATCAGCTCTCATCTCGAGACGATTAGGGGTACACGGAACATTCCTCGAGTTGCTGTGCTGAAGTTCGTGTTCTTCTAGAGCTGGGACAGTGTCCTTGGGGAATATCTGGAATTGTGTGAAGGAAGTCGAGCCACTGGCCGTATTTAATGTGTAACGGGGGTTGGCTCTGGAGTCAATGAAGGGGAATCTGACCTCATCTCGAGTTGATTTGGGGCACATGGAGCTGCTTTGCATTGCTGGCGTGACCTCAGGGCCCATCTAGACTTGTGACAGTGTTCTTGGGGACTGTCTTGAGATCCAAAAACCAAGTCGAAGCTCCTTACATGTTTGATGGAGATCACAGAATGGCTCTGCATGCAATGCAGGGGAATCGGGCCTCATCTCGCCTCTAGGGGGAAGTCACATGGTTTTTCTCGATTTTCGGCGGCGACCTGGGGAATGTTCTCGAGTTTCAGCGGGGATGGCCCTTCAAAACACGTGTTTATATAGTGATGTCACGACTCCTGTCTAGTAACGAGGGACACCTCAGAAATCTCTTTGAGGCTTGGCAGGGCAAAAAGGGACGCTTCTCGAAGTGAGGCAGGGCACCCAAGGTCCCTTTCCAATAGTTACATGTATTTTGGGATTCCTAACAATGTTCAAGAGGAGTCTTGCATCATCACCCTTTGAAGTAGTGATCTCCGGGTTCCTCTCGATGTGTCAAAGGGATCTGAGGCATTCCGTCAAAATGAGGCAGGGACCTAGATCTTTCTCTAACGTCTCGACAGGGTGTCAGACATCCCTTCATGTTGTGAGATGATAGACGAGCCTGTATTCACGCCACTGCAAGGAAATCCGGCCTCCTTTCAAGTTAGGGCTTCTCGCTGTATATTCAATTTGAGGCAGCAAACTCGGGGTTCCTCCCACATACCTATTGCTGAGAGAAGCCTCCTCTTTCGGTGTTTCTGGAAAGTTGGCATACGTCTTGAACCTAAGCCAGGGAATCAGCTCTCATGTCAAGACGATTAGGGGTACAAGGAGCATTCCTCGAGTTGCTGTGCAGAAGTTGGTGTTCTTCTAGACTTGGGACAGTGTTCTCAGGGAATCTCTGGAGTTGCCTGAAGGAAGTCAAACCACTGGTCGTGTTTAATGGGGAAAGGGGGATGGCTCTTGAATCAATTCAGGGGAATCGGGCCTCATCTCGAGTTGATTTGCTGCACATGCAGCTGCTTTTCTTTGCTGGGGTGACCTCAGGATCCGTCTAGCCTTGTGACAGTGTTCTTGGGGACTATCTCAAGATCCATTAATCGAGTCGAAGGTCCTTACATGTTTGATGATGATCACGGAATTGTTCTGCATGCAATGCAGGGGAATCGGGCCTCATCTCGCATCTAGGGCGCAGTCTCCTGGTTTTTCTCGAGTTGAGGCGGGGACCTGGTGTATACTCTCGAGTTTCGGCGGGGATGCCCCTTTAAAACATGTGTTTATTCAGTGACGTCAGGACATCTGTCTAGTAACGGGGGACACCTCAGGAATCTCTTCGAGGCTTGGCATTGCAAAAGAGACGCTTCTCGAGGAGAGGCAGGCCACCCAAGGACCCTTTCCAGGAGCCACAGGGATTCTGGAATTCCTAACATTGTTCAAGAGGAGTCAGGCATCGTCACCTTTTGAAGCAGTGAACTCTGCCTGCCTCTCGAGGTGCCAAATTTATGAGAGGCATTCCGTCAAAATGAGGCAGGGACCTAGATCTTTCTCTAAGGTCTCGAGAGGGGATTCAGACATCTCTTCATGTTGTGAGATGAAAGACAGGCCTGCATTCACGCCACTGCAAGGAAATCCGGCCTCCTTTCAAGTTAGGGCTTCTCGCTGTATATTCCACTTGCGGCAGCAAACTCAGTGTCCCTCCCACATACCTATTGCTGAGGAAGCCTACTCTTTCGGTTTGTCTGGAAAGATGGCATAAGTGTTGAGTCTAAGCTAGGGAATCTGCTCTCATCTCGAGACGATCTGGGGTACACGGACCATTCCTCGAGTTGCTGTGCTGAAGTTGGTGTTCTTCTAGACTTGGGACAGTGTCCTTGGGGAATCTCTGGAATTGTGTGAAGGAAGTCGAGCCACTGGTCTTATTTAATGGGGATGGGGGAAGGCTCTGGAGTCAATGCAGGGGAATCTGGCCTCATCTCGAGTTGATTTGGGGCACATAGAGCTGCTTTGCGTTGCTGGGGTGACCTCAGGGTCCGTCTAGACTTGTGACAGTGTTCTTGGGGACTGTCTTGAGATCCATTAACCAAGTCGAAGCTCCTTACATGTTTGATGGAGATCACAGAATCGCTCTGCATGAAATGCAGCGGAATCGGGCCTCATCCAACTTCTAGGGGGAAGTCACATGGTTTTGCTCGATTTTCGGTGGCGACCTGGGGTATCTTCTCGAGTTAAGGCGGGGATGGCCCTTCAAAACACGTGTTTATATAGTGATGTCACGTCTCCTGTCCAGTAACGAAGGACACGTCAGGAATCTCTTTGAGGCTTGGCAGGGTAAAACGAACGCTTCTCGAGGTAAGGCAGGGCACCCAAGGACCCTTTCCAGTAGTCACAGGGATTTGGGGATTCCTAACAATGTTCAAGAGGAGTCATGCATCGTCACCCTTTGAAGTAGTGATCTCCGAGTGCCTCTCGATGTGTCAAAGGGATGTGAGGCATTCCGTCAAAATGAGGCAGGGACCTAGATCTTTCTCTAACGTCTCGACAGGGGATTCAGACATCCCTTCCTGTTGTGACATGAAAGACGAGCCTGTATTCACACCACTGCAAGGAAATCCGGCCTCCTTTCAAGTTAGGGCTTCTCACTGTATATTCCATTTCAGGCAGCAAACTCGGGGTCCCTCCCACATAACTATTGTTGAAAGAAGCCTCCTCTTTCGGTGTTTTTGGAAAGTTGGCATACGTCTTGGGCCTAAGCCAGGGAATCAGCTCTCATCTCGAGACAATTAGGGGTACATGGAGCATTCCTCGAGTTGCTGTGCTGAAGTTGGTGTTCTTCTAGACTTGCGACAGTGTTCTCAGGCAATCTCTGGAGTTGCCTGAAGGAAGTCAAACCACTAGTCCTGTTTAATGGGGAAAGGGGGATGGCTCTGGAAGCAATGCAGGGGAATCGGGCCTCATCTCGAGTTGATTTGTTGCACATGAAACTGCTTTGCTTTGCTGGGGTGACGTCAGTGTCCGTCTAGACTTGTGACAGTGTTCTTGGTGACTGTCTCGAGATCCATTCATCTAGTGAAAGCTCCTTACATGTTTGATGATGGTCACGGAATTGTTCTGCATGCAATGCAGGGGAATCGGGCCTCATCTCGCATCTAGGGGGATGTCTCCTGGTTTTTCTCGACTTGCGGCGGGGACCTGGTGTATGTTCTTGAGTTACGGTGGGGATGGCCCTTCAAAACACGTGTTTATTCAGTGACGTCAGGACTCCTGTCTAGTAACGAGGGACACCTCAGGAATCTCTTTGAGGCTTGGCAGGGCAAAAAGGGACGCTTCTCGAGGTGAGGCAGGGCACCCAAGGTCCCTTTCCAATAGTTACATGTATTCTGGGATTCCTAACAATGTTCAAGAGGAGTCTTGCATCGTCACTCTTTGAAGTAGTGATCTCCGGGTTCCTCTCGATATGTCAAAGGGAGGTGAGGCATTCCGTCAAAATGAGGCAGGGACCTAGATCTTTCTCTAACGTCTCGACAGGGGATTCAGACATCCCTTCATGTTGTGAGATGATAGACGAGCCTGTATTCACGCCACTGCAAGGAAATCCGGCCTCCTTTCAAGTTAGGGCTTCTCGCTGTATATTCCATTTGAGGCAGCAAACTCGGGGTCTCTCCCACATAACTATTGTTGAAAGAAGCCTCCTCTTTCGGTGTTTCTGGAAAGTTGGCATACGTCTTGGGCCTAAGCCAGGGAATCAGCTCTCATCTCGAGACAATTAGGGGTACATGGAGCATTCCTCGAGTTGCTGTGCTGAAGTTGGTGTTCTTCTAGACTTGCGACAGTGTTCTCAGGCAATCTCTGGAGTTGCCTGAAGGAAGTCAAACCACTAGTCCTGTTTAATGGGGAAAGGGGGATGGCTCTGGAAGCAATGCAGGGGAATCGGGCCTCATCTCGAGTTGATTTGTTGCACATGAAACTGCTTTGCTTTGCTGGGGTGACGTCAGTGTCCGTCTAGACTTGTGACAGTGTTCTTGGTGACTGTCTCGAGATCCATTCATCTAGTGAAAGCTCCTTACATGTTTGATGATGGTCACGGAATTGTTCTGCATGCAATGCAGGGGAATCGGGCCTCATCTCGCATCTAGGGGGATGTCTCCTGGTTTTTCTCGACTTGCGGCGGGGACCTGGTGTATGTTCTTGAGTTACGGCAGGGATGGCCCTTGAAAACATGTGTTTATTCAGTGACGTCAGGACTCCTGTCTAGTAACGAGGGACACCTCAGGAATCTCTTCAAGGCTTGGCATTACAAAAGGGACGCTTCTCGAGGTGAGGCAGGGTAACCAAGGACACTTTCCAGGAGCCACAGGGATTTGGGGATTCCTAACATTGTTCAAGAGGAGTCAGGCATCGTGACATTTTCAAGCAGTGAACTCTGCCTGCCTCTCGAGGTGCCAAATGAATGTGAGGCATTCCGTCACAATGAGGCAGGGACCTAGAGCTTTCTTTAACGTCTCGACAGGGGATTCAGACATCCCTTCATGTTGTGAGATGAAAGATGAGCCTGTATTCAAGCCACTGCAAGGAAATCTGGCCTCCTTTCAAGTTAGGGCTTCTCGCTGTATATTCCACTTGAGGCAGCAAACTCGGGGTCCCTCCCACATACCTATTGCTGAGGAAGCCTCCTCTTTCGGTGTTTCTGGAATGTTGGCATAAGTGTTGAGTCTAAGCCAGGGAATCAGCTCTCATCTCGAGACAATTTGGGGTACACGGAGCATTCCTCGAGTTGCTGTGCTGAAGTTGGTGTTCTTCTAGACTTGGGACAGTGTTCTCGGGGAATCTCTGGAGTTGCCTGAAGGAAGTCGAGCCAATGGTCGTGTTTAATGGGGAATGGGGAATGGCTCTGGAATCATTGCAGGTGAATCAATCCTCTTCTCGAGTTGATTTGGGGCACGTGGAGCTGCTTTGCATTGCTGGGGTCACCTCAGGGTCCGTCTAGACTTGTGACAGTGTTCTTGGGGACTGTCTTGAGATCCATTAACCAAGTCGAAGCTCCTTACATGTTTGATGGAGATCACAGAATCGCTCTGCATTAAATGCAGCGGAATCGGGCCTCATCCAACTTCTAGGGGGAAGTCACATGGTTTTGCTCGATTTTCGGTGGCGACCTGGGGTATCTTCTCGAGTTAAGGCGGGGATGGCCCTTCAAAACACGTGTTTATATAGTGATGTCACGTCTCCTGTCCAGTAACGAGGGACACGTCAGGAATCTCTTTGAGGCTTGGCAGGGTAAAACGAACGCTTCTCGAGGTAAGGCAGGGCACCCAAGGACCCTTTCCAGTAGTCACAGGGATTTGGGGATTCCTAACAATGTTCAAGAGGAGTCATGCATCGTCACCCTTTGAAGTAGTGATCTCCGAGTGCCTCTCGATGTGTCAAAGGGATGTGAGGCATTCCGTCAAAATGAGGCAGGGACCTAGATCTTTCTCTAACGTCTCGACAGGGGATTCAGACATCCCTTCCTGTTGTGACATGAAAGACGAGCCTGTATTCACACCACTGCAAGGAAATCCGGCCTCCTTTCAAGTTAGGGCTTCTCACTGTATATTCCATTTGAGGCAGCAAACTCGGGGTCCCTCCCACATAACTATTGTTGAAAGAAGCCTCCTCTTTCGGTGTTTTTGGAAAGTTGGCATACGTCTTGGGCCTAAGCCAGGGAATCAGCTCTCATCTCGAGACAATTAGGGGTACATGGAGCATTCCTCGAGTTGCTGTGCTGAAGTTGGTGTTCTTCTAGACTTGCGACAGTGTTCTCAGGCAATCTCTGGAGTTGCCTGAAGGAAGTCAAACCACTAGTCCTGTTTAATGGGGAAAGGGGGATGGCTCTGGAAGCAATGCAGGGGAATCGGGCCTCATCTCGAGTTGATTTGTTGCACATGAAACTGCTTTGCTTTGCTGGGGTGACGTCAGTGTCCGTCTAGACTTGTGACAGTGTTCTTGGGGATTGTCTCGAGATCCATTCATCTAGTGAAAGCTCCTTACATGTTTGATGATGGTCACGGAATTGTTCTGCATGCAATGCAGGGGAATCGGGCCTCATCTCGCATCTAGGGGGATGTCTCCTGGTTTTTCTCGACTTGCGGCGGGGACCTGGTGTATGTTCTTGAGTTACGGTGGGGATGGCCCTTCAAAACACGTGTTTATTCAGTGACGTCAGGACTCCTGTCTAGTAACGAGGGACACCTCAGGAATCTCTTTGAGGCTTGGCAGGGCAAAAAGGGACGCTTCTCGAGGTGAGGCAGGGCACCCAAGGTCCCTTTCCAATAGTTACATGTATTCTGGGATTCCTAACAATGTTCAAGAGGAGTCTTGCATCGTCACTCTTTGAAGTAGTGATCTCCGGGTTCCTCTCGATATGTCAAAGGGATGTGAGGCATTCCGTCAAAATGAGGCAGGGACCTAGATCTTTCTCTAACGTCTCGACAGGGGATTCAGACATCCCTTCATGTTGTGAGATGATAGACGAGCCTGTATTCACGCCACTGCAAGGAAATCCGGCCTCCTTTCAAGTTAGGGCTTCTCGCTGTATATTCCATTTGAGGCAGCAAACTCGGGGTCTCTCCCACATAACTATTGTTGAAAGAAGCCTCCTCTTTCGGTGTTTCTGGAAAGTTGGCATACGTCTTGGGCCTAAGCCAGGGAATCAGCTCTCATCTCGAGACAATTAGGGGTACATGGAGCATTCCTCGAGTTGCTGTGCTGAAGTTGGTGTTCTTCTAGACTTGCGACAGTGTTCTCAGGCAATCTCTGGAGTTGCCTGAAGGAAGTCAAACCACTAGTCCTGTTTAATGGGGAAAGGGGGATGGCTCTGGAAGCAATGCAGGGGAATCGGGCCTCATCTCGAGTTGATTTGTTGCACATGAAACTGCTTTGCTTTGCTGGGGTGACGTCAGTGTCCGTCTAGACTTGTGACAGTGTTCTTGGGGACTGTCTCGAGATCCATTCATCTAGTGAAAGCTCCTTACATGTTTGATGATGGTCACGGAATTGTTCTGCATGCAATGCAGGGGAATCGGGCCTCATCTCGCATCTAGGGGGATGTCTCCTGGTTTTTCTCGACTTGCGGCGGGGACCTGGTGTATGTTCTTGAGTTACGGCAGGGATGGCCCTTGAAAACATGTGTTTATTCAGTGACGTCAGGACTCCTGTCTAGTAACGAGGGACACCTCAGGAATCTCTTCAAGGCTTGGCATTACAAAAGGGACGCTTCTCGAGGTGAGGCAGGGTAACCAAGGACACTTTCCAGGAGCCACAGGGATTTGGGGATTCCTAACATTGTTCAAGAGGAGTCAGGCATCGTGACATTTTCAAGCAGTGAACTCTGCCTGCCTCTCGAGGTGCCAAATGAATGTGAGGCATTCCGTCACAATCAGGCAGGGACCTAGAGCTTTCTTTAAGGTCTCGACAGGGGATTCAGACATCCCTTCATGTTGTGAGATGAAAGATGAGCCTGTATTCAAGCCACTGCAAGGAAATCTGGCCTCCTTTCAAGTTAGGGCTTCTCGCTGTATATTCCACTTGAGGCAGCAAACTCGGGGTCCCTCCCACATACCTATTGCTGAGGAAGCCTCCTCTTTCGGTGTTTCTGGAATGTTGGCATAAGTGTTGAGTCTAAGCCAGGGAATCAGCTCTCATCTCGAGACAATTTGGGGTACACGGAGCATTCCTCGAGTTGCTGTGCTGAAGTTGGTGTTCTTCTAGACTTGGGACAGTGTTCTCGGGGAATCTCTGGAGTTGCCTGAAGGAAGTCGAGCCAATGGTCGTGTTTAATGGGGAATGGGGAATGGCTCTGGAATCATTGCAGGTGAATCAATCCTCTTCTCGAGTTGATTTGGGGCACGTGGAGCTGCTTTGCATTGCTGGGGTGACCTCAGGGTCCGTCTAGACTTGTGACAGTGTTCTTGGGGACTGTCTTGAGATCCATCAACTAAGTCGAAGCTCCTTACAGGTTTGATGGAGATCATGGAATGGCTCTGATGCAATGCAGGGGAATTGGGCCTCATCTCGCCTCTAGGGGGAAGTCACATGGTTTTTCTCGATTTTCCGCGGCGACCTGGGGTATGTTCTCGAGGTACAGCGGGGATGGCCCTTCAAAACACGTGTTTATTCAGTGACAACAGGACTCCTGTCTAGTAATGAGGGACACCTCAGGAATATTTTGAGGCTTGGCAGGGGAAAAGGGACGCTTCTCGAGGTGAGGCAGGGCACCCAAGGACCCTTTTCAGGAGCCACAGGGATTTGAGATTCATAACATTTTTCAAGAGGAGTCAGGCATCGTGACATTTTGAGGCAGTGAACTCCGCCTGCCTCTCGAGCTGCCATATGGATGTGAGGCATTCCGTCAATGAGGCAGGGACCTAGAGCTCTGCTAAGGTCTCGACAGGGGATTCAGACATCCCTTCATGTTTGAGATGAAAGACGAGCCTGTATTCAAGCCACTGCAAGGAAATCCGGCCTCCTTTCAAGTTAGGGCTTCTCGCTGTATATTCCACTTGAGGCAGCAAACTCGGGGTCCCTCCCACATACCTATTGCTGAGGAAGCCTCCTCTCTCGCTGCCTCTGGAAAGTTGGCATAAGTTTTGAGTCTAAGCCGGGGAATCAGCTCTCATCTCGAGACGATTAGGGGTACACGGAACATTCCTCGAGTTGCTGTGCTGAAGTTCGTGTTCTTCTAGAGCTGGGACAGTGTCCTTGGGGAATATCTGGAATTGTGTGAAGGAAGTCGAGCCACTGGCCGTATTTAATGTGTAACGGGGGTTGGCTCTGGAGTCAATGAAGGGGAATCTGACCTCATCTCGAGTTGATTTGGGGCACATGGAGCTGCTTTGCATTGCTGGCGTGACCTCAGGGCCCATCTAGACTTGTGACAGTGTTCTTGGGGACTGTCTTGAGATCCAAAAACCAAGTCGAAGCTCCTTACATGTTTGATGGAGATCACAGAATGGCTCTGCATGCAATGCAGGGGAATCGGGCCTCATCTCGCCTCTAGGGGGAAGTCACATGGTTTTTCTCGATTTTCGGCGGCGACCTGGGGAATGTTCTCGAGTTTCAGCGGGGATGGCCCTTCAAAACACGTGTTTATATAGTGATGTCACGACTCCTGTCTAGTAACGAGGGACACCTCAGAAATCTCTTTGAGGCTTGGCAGGGCAAAAAGGGACGCTTCTCGAAGTGAGGCAGGGCACCCAAGGTCCCTTTCCAATAGTTACATGTATTTTGGGATTCCTAACAATGTTCAAGAGGAGTCTTGCATCATCACCCTTTGAAGTAGTGATCTCCGGGTTCCTCTCGATGTGTCAAAGGGATCTGAGGCATTCCGTCAAAATGAGGCAGGGACCTAGATCTTTCTCTAACGTCTCGACAGGGTGTCAGACATCCCTTCATGTTGTGAGATGATAGACGAGCCTGTATTCACGCCACTGCAAGGAAATCCGGCCTCCTTTCAAGTTAGGGCTTCTCGCTGTATATTCAATTTGAGGCAGCAAACTCGGGGTTCCTCCCACATACCTATTGCTGAGAGAAGCCTCCTCTTTCGGTGTTTCTGGAAAGTTGGCATACGTCTTGAACCTAAGCCAGGGAATCAGCTCTCATGTCAAGACGATTAGGGGTACAAGGAGCATTCCTCGAGTTGCTGTGCAGAAGTTGGTGTTCTTCTAGACTTGCGACAGTGTTCTCAGGGAATCTCTGGAGTTGCCTGAAGGAAGTCAAACCACTGGTCGTGTTTAATGGGGAAAGGGGGATGGCTCTTGAATCAATTCAGGGGAATCGGGCCTCATCTCGAGTTGATTTGCTGCACATGCAGCTGCTTTTCTTTGCTGGGGTGACCTCAGGATCCGTCTAGCCTTGTGACAGTGTTCTTGGGGACTATCTCAAGATCCATTAATCGAGTCGAAGGTCCTTACATGTTTGATGATGATCACGGAATTGTTCTGCATGCAATGCAGGGGAATCGGGCCTCATCTCGCATCTAGGGCGCAGTCTCCTGGTTTTTCTCGAGTTGAGGCGGGGACCTGGTGTATACTCTCGAGTTTCGGCGGGGATGCCCCTTTAAAACATGTGTTTATTCAGTGACGTCAGGACATCTGTCTAGTAACGGGGGACACCTCAGGAATCTCTTCGAGGCTTGGCATTGCAAAAGAGACGCTTCTCGAGGAGAGGCAGGCCACCCAAGGACCCTTTCCAGGAGCCACAGGGATTCTGGAATTCCTAACATTGTTCAAGAGGAGTCAGGCATCGTCACCTTTTGAAGCAGTGAACTCTGCCTGCCTCTCGAGGTGCCAAATTTATGAGAGGCATTCCGTCAAAATGAGGCAGGGACCTAGATCTTTCTCTAAGGTCTCGAGAGGGGATTCAGACATCTCTTCATGTTGTGAGATGAAAGACAGGCCTGCATTCACGCCACTGCAAGGAAATCCGGCCTCCTTTCAAGTTAGGGCTTCTCGCTGTATATTCCACTTGCGGCAGCAAACTCAGTGTCCCTCCCACATACCTATTGCTGAGGAAGCCTACTCTTTCGGTTTGTCTGGAAAGATGGCATAAGTGTTGAGTCTAAGCTAGGGAATCTGCTCTCATCTCGAGACGATCTGGGGTACACGGACCATTCCTCGAGTTGCTGTGCTGAAGTTGGTGTTCTTCTAGACTTGGGACAGTGTCCTTGGGGAATCTCTGGAATTGTGTGAAGGAAGTCGAGCCACTGGTCTTATTTAATGGGGATGGGGGAAGGCTCTGGAGTCAATGCAGGGGAATCTGGCCTCATCTCGAGTTGATTTGGGGCACATAGAGCTGCTTTGCGTTGCTGGGGTGACCTCAGGGTCCGTCTAGACTTGTGACAGTGTTCTTGGGGACTGTCTTGAGATCCATTAACCAAGTCGAAGCTCCTTACATGTTTGATGGAGATCACAGAATCGCTCTGCATGAAATGCAGCGGAATCGGGCCTCATCCAACTTCTAGGGGGAAGTCACATGGTTTTGCTCGATTTTCGGTGGCGACCTGGGGTATCTTCTCGAGTTAAGGCGGGGATGGCCCTTCAAAACACGTGTTTATATAGTGATGTCACGTCTCCTGTCCAGTAACGAAGGACACGTCAGGAATCTCTTTGAGGCTTGGCAGGGTAAAACGAACGCTTCTCGAGGTAAGGCAGGGCACCCAAGGACCCTTTCCAGTAGTCACAGGGATTTGGGGATTCCTAACAATGTTCAAGAGGAGTCATGCATCGTCACCCTTTGAAGTAGTGATCTCTGAGTGCCTCTCGATGTGTCAAAGGGATGTGAGGCATTCCGTCAAAATGAGGCAGGGACCTAGATCTTTCTCTAACGTCTCGACAGGGGATTCAGACATCCCTTCCTGTTGTGACATGAAAGACGAGCCTGTATTCACACCACTGCAAGGAAATCCGGCCTCCTTTCAAGTTAGGGCTTCTCACTGTATATTCCATTTCAGGCAGCAAACTCGGGGTCCCTCCCACATAACTATTGTTGAAAGAAGCCTCCTCTTTCGGTGTTTTTGGAAAGTTGGCATACGTCTTGGGCCTAAGCCAGGGAATCAGCTCTCATCTCGAGACAATTAGGGGTACATGGAGCATTCCTCGAGTTGCTGTGCTGAAGTTGGTGTTCTTCTAGACTTGCGACAGTGTTCTCAGGCAATCTCTGGAGTTGCCTGAAGGAAGTCAAACCACTAGTCCTGTTTAATGGGGAAAGGGGGATGGCTCTGGAAGCAATGCAGGGGAATCGGGCCTCATCTCGAGTTGATTTGTTGCACATGAAACTGCTTTGCTTTGCTGGGGTGACGTCAGTGTCCGTCTAGACTTGTGACAGTGTTCTTGGTGACTGTCTCGAGATCCATTCATCTAGTGAAAGCTCCTTACATGTTTGATGATGGTCACGGAATTGTTCTGCATGCAATGCAGGGGAATCGGGCCTCATCTCGCATCTAGGGGGATGTCTCCTGGTTTTTCTCGACTTGCGGCGGGGACCTGGTGTATGTTCTTGAGTTACGGTGGGGATGGCCCTTCAAAACACGTGTTTATTCAGTGACGTCAGGACTCCTGTCTAGTAACGAGGGACACCTCAGGAATCTCTTTGAGGCTTGGCAGGGCAAAAAGGGACGCTTCTCGAGGTGAGGCAGGGCACCCAAGGTCCCTTTCCAATAGTTACATGTATTCTGGGATTCCTAACAATGTTCAAGAGGAGTCTTGCATCGTCACTCTTTGAAGTAGTGATCTCCGGGTTCCTCTCGATATGTCAAAGGGAGGTGAGGCATTCCGTCAAAATGAGGCAGGGACCTAGATCTTTCTCTAACGTCTCGACAGGGGATTCAGACATCCCTTCATGTTGTGAGATGATAGACGAGCCTGTATTCACGCCACTGCAAGGAAATCCGGCCTCCTTTCAAGTTAGGGCTTCTCGCTGTATATTCCATTTGAGGCAGCAAACTCGGGGTCTCTCCCACATAACTATTGTTGAAAGAAGCCTCCTCTTTCGGTGTTTCTGGAAAGTTGGCATACGTCTTGGGCCTAAGCCAGGGAATCAGCTCTCATCTCGAGACAATTAGGGGTACATGGAGCATTCCTCGAGTTGCTGTGCTGAAGTTGGTGTTCTTCTAGACTTGCGACAGTGTTCTCAGGCAATCTCTGGAGTTGCCTGAAGGAAGTCAAACCACTAGTCCTGTTTAATGGGGAAAGGGGGATGGCTCTGGAAGCAATGCAGGGGAATCGGGCCTCATCTCGAGTTGATTTGTTGCACATGAAACTGCTTTGCTTTGCTGGGGTGACGTCAGTGTCCGTCTAGACTTGTGACAGTGTTCTTGGTGACTGTCTCGAGATCCATTCATCTAGTGAAAGCTCCTTACATGTTTGATGATGGTCACGGAATTGTTCTGCATGCAATGCAGGGGAATCGGGCCTCATCTCGCATCTAGGGGGATGTCTCCTGGTTTTTCTCGACTTGCGGCGGGGACCTGGTGTATGTTCTTGAGTTACGGCAGGGATGGCCCTTGAAAACATGTGTTTATTCAGTGACGTCAGGACTCCTGTCTAGTAACGAGGGACACCTCAGGAATCTCTTCAAGGCTTGGCATTACAAAAGGGACGCTTCTCGAGGTGAGGCAGGGTAACCAAGGACACTTTCCAGGAGCCACAGGGATTTGGGGATTCCTAACATTGTTCAAGAGGAGTCAGGCATCGTGACATTTTCAAGCAGTGAACTCTGCCTGCCTCTCGAGGTGCCAAATGAATGTGAGGCATTCCGTCACATGAGGCAGGGACCTAGAGCTTTCTTTAAGGTCTCGACAGGGGATTCAGACATCCCTTCATGTTGTGAGATGAAAGATGAGCCTGTATTCAAGCCACTGCAAGGAAATCTGGCCTCCTTTCAAGTTAGGGCTTCTCGCTGTATATTCCACTTGAGGCAGCAAACTCGGGGTCCCTCCCACATACCTATTGCTGAGGAAGCCTCCTCTTTCGGTGTTTCTGGAATGTTGGCATAAGTGTTGAGTCTAAGCCAGGGAATCAGCTCTCATCTCGAGACAATTTGGGGTACACGGAGCATTCCTCGAGTTGCTGTGCTGAAGTTGGTGTTCTTCTAGACTTGGGACAGTGTTCTCGGGGAATCTCTGGAGTTGCCTGAAGGAAGTCGAGCCAATGGTCGTGTTTAATGGGGAATGGGGAATGGCTCTGGAATCATTGCAGGTGAATCAATCCTCTTCTCGAGTTGATTTGGGGCACGTGGAGCTGCTTTGCATTGCTGGGGTGACCTCAGGGTCCGTCTAGACTTGTGACAGTGTTCTTGGGGACTGTCTTGAGATCCATCAACTAAGTCGAAGCTCCTTACAGGTTTGATGGAGATCATGGAATGGCTCTGATGCAATGCAGGGGAATTGGGCCTCATCTCGCCTCTAGGGGGAAGTCACATGGTTTTTCTCGATTTTCCGCGGCGACCTAGGGTATGTTCTCGAGGTACAGCGGGGATGGCCCTTCAAAACACGTGTTTATTCAGTGACAACAGGACTCCTGTCTAGTAATGAGGGACACCTCAGGAATATTTTGAGGCTTGGCAGGGCAAAAGGGACGCTTCTCGAGGTGAGGCAGGGAACCCAAGGACCCTTTTCAGGAGCCACAGGGATTTGAGATTCATAACATTTTTCAAGAGGAGTCAGGCATCGTGACATTTTGAGGCAGTGAACTCCGCCTGCCTCTCGAGCTGCCATATGGATGTGAGGCATTCCGTCAATGAGGCAGGGACCTAGAGCTCTGCTAAGGTCTCGACAGGGGATTCAGACATCCCTTCATGTTTGAGATGAAAGACGAGCCTGTATTCAAGCCACTGCAAGGAAATCCGGCCTCCTTTCAAGTTAGGGCTTCTCGCTGTATATTCCACTTGAGGCAGCAAACTCGGGGTCCCTCCCACATTCCTATTGCTGAGGAAGCCTCCTCTCTCGCTGTCTCTGGAAAGTTGGCATAAGTTTTGAGTCTAAGCCGGGGAATCAGCTCTCATCTCGAGACGATTAGGGGTACACGGAACATTCCTCGAGTTGCTGTGCTGAAGTTCGTGTTCTTCTAGAGCTGGGACAGTGTCCTTGGGGAATATCTGGAATTGTGTGAAGGAAGTCGAGCCACTGGCCGTATTTAATGTGTAACGGGGGTTGGCTCTGGAGTCAATGAAGGGGAATCTGACCTCATCTCGAGTTGATTTGGGGCACATGGAGCTGCTTTGCATTGCTGGCGTGACCTCAGGGCCCGTCTAGACTTGTGACAGTGTTCTTGGGGACTGTCTTGAGATCTAAAAACCAAGTCGAAGCTCCTTACATGTTTGATGGAGATCACAGAATGGCTCTGCATGCAATGCAGGGGAATCGGGCCTCATCTCGCCTCTAGGGGGAAGTCACATGGTTTTTCTCGATTTTCGGCGGCGACCTGGGGAATGTTCTCGAGTTTCAGCGGGGATGGCCCTTCAAAACACGTGTTTATATAGTGATGTCACGACTCCTGTCTAGTAACGAGGGACACCTCAGAAATCTCTTTGAGGCTTGGCAGGGCAAAAAGGGACGCTTCTCGAAGTGAGGCAGGGCACCCAAGGTCCCTTTCCAATAGTTACATGTATTTTGGGATTCCTAACAATGTTCAAGAGGAGTCTTGCATCATCACCCTTTGAAGTAGTGATCTCCGGGTTCCTCTCGATGTGTCAAAGGGATCTGAGGCATTCCGTCAAAATGAGGCAGGGACCTAGATCTTTCTCTAACGTCTCGACAGGGTGTCAGACATCCCTTCATGTTGTGAGATGATAGACGAGCCTGTATTCACGCCACTGCAAGGAAATCCGGCCTCCTTTCAAGTTAGGGCTTCTCGCTGTATATTCAATTTGAGGCAGCAAACTCGGGGTTCCTCCCACATACCTATTGCTGAGAGAAGCCTCCTCTTTCGGTGTTTCTGGAAAGTTGGCATACGTCTTGAGCCTAAGCCAGGGAATCTGCTCTCATGTCAAGACGATTAGGGGTACAAGGAGCATTCCTCGAGTTGCTGTGCAGAAGTTGGTGTTCTTCTAGACTTGGGACAGTGTTCTCAGGGAATCTCTGGAGTTGCCTGAAGGAAGTCAAACCACTGGTCGTGTTTAATGGGGAAAGGGGGATGGCTCTTGAATCAATTCAGGGGAATCGGGCCTCATCTCGAGTTGATTTGCTGCACATGCAGCTGCTTTTCTTTGCTGGGGTGACCTCAGGATCCGTCTAGCCTTGTGACAGTGTTCTTGGGGACTATCTCAAGATCCATTAATCGAGTCGAAGGTCCTTACATGTTTGATGATGATCACGGAATTGTTCTGCATGCAATGCAGGGGAATCGGGCCTCATCTCGCATCTAGGGCGCAGTCTCCTGGTTTTTCTCGAGTTGAGGCGGGGACCTGGTGTATACTCTCGAGTTTCGGCGGGGATGCCCCTTTAAAACATGTGTTTATTCAGTGACGTCAGGACATCTGTCTAGTAACGGGGGACACCTCAGGAATCTCTTCGAGGCTTGGCATTGCAAAAGAGACGCTTCTCGAGGAGAGGCAGGCCACCCAAGGACCCTTTCCAGGAGCCACAGGGATTCTGGAATTCCTAACATTGTTCAAGAGGAGTCAGGCATCGTCACCTTTTGAAGCAGTGAACTCTGCCTGCCTCTCGAGGTGCCAAATTTATGAGAGGCATTCCGTCAAAATGAGGCAGGGACCTAGATCTTTCTCTAAGGTCTCGAGAGGGGATTCAGACATCTCTTCATGTTGTGAGATGAAAGACAGGCCTGCATTCACGCCACTGCAAGGAAATCCGGCCTCCTTTCAAGTTAGGGCTTCTCGCTGTATATTCCACTTGCGGCAGCAAACTCAGTGTCCCTCCCACATACCTATTGCTGAGGAAGCCTACTCTTTCGGTTTGTCTGGAAAGATGGCATAAGTGTTGAGTCTAAGCTAGGGAATCTGCTCTCATCTCGAGACGATCTGGGGTACACGGACCATTCCTCGAGTTGCTGTGCTGAAGTTGGTGTTCTTCTAGACTTGGGACAGTGTCCTTGGGGAATCTCTGGAATTGTGTGAAGGAAGTCGAGCCACTGGTCTTATTTAATGGGGATGGGGGAAGGCTCTGGAGTCAATGCAGGGGAATCTGGCCTCATCTCGAGTTGATTTGGGGCACATAGAGCTGCTTTGCGTTGCTGGGGTGACCTCAGGGTCCGTCTAGACTTGTGACAGTGTTCTTGGGGACTGTCTTGAGATCCATTAACCAAGTCGAAGCTCCTTACATGTTTGATGGAGATCACAGAATTGCTCTGCATGAAATGCAGCGGAATCGGGCCTCATCCAACTTCTAGGGGGAAGTCACATGGTTTTGCTCGATTTTCGGTGGCGACCTGGGGTATCTTCTCGAGTTAAGGCGGGGATGGCCCTTCAAAACACGTGTTTATATAGTGATGTCACGTCTCCTGTCCAGTAACGAGGGACACGTCAGGAATCTCTTTGAGGCTTGGCAGGGTAAAACGAACGCTTCTCGAGGTAAGGCAGGGCACCCAAGGACCCTTTCCAGTAGTCACAGGGATTTGGGGATTCCTAACAATGTTCAAGAGGAGTCATGCATCGTCACCCTTTGAAGTAGTGATCTCCGAGTGCCTCTCGATGTGTCAAAGGGATGTGAGGCATTCCGTCAAAATGAGGCAGGGACCTAGATCTTTCTCTAACGTCTCGACAGGGGATTCAGACATCCCTTCCTGTTGTGACATGAAAGACGAGCCTGTATTCACACCACTGCAAGGAAATCCGGCCTCCTTTCAAGTTAGGGCTTCTCACTGTATATTCCATTTGAGGCAGCAAACTCGGGGTCCCTCCCACATAACTATTGTTGAAAGAAGCCTCCTCTTTCGGTGTTTTTGGAAAGTTGGCATACGTCTTGGGCCTAAGCCAGGGAATCAGCTCTCATCTCGAGACAATTAGGGGTACATGGAGCATTCCTCGAGTTGCTGTGCTGAAGTTGGTGTTCTTCTAGACTTGCGACAGTGTTCTCAGGCAATCTCTGGAGTTGCCTGAAGGAAGTCAAACCACTAGTCCTGTTTAATGGGGAAAGGGGGATGGCTCTGGAAGCAATGCAGGGGAATCGGGCCTCATCTCGAGTTGATTTGTTGCACATGAAACTGCTTTGCTTTGCTGGGGTGATGTCAGTGTCCGTCTAGACTTGTGACAGTGTTCTTGGGGACTGTCTCGAGATCCATTCATCTAGTGAAAGCTCCTTACATGTTTGATGATGGTCACGGAATTGTTCTGCATGCAATGCAGGGGAATCGGGCCTCATCTCGCATCTAGGGGGATGTCTCCTGGTTTTTCTCGACTTGCGGCGGGGACCTGGTGTATGTTCTTGAGTTACGGTGGGGATGGCCCTTCAAAACACGTGTTTATTCAGTGACGTCAGGACTCCTGTCTAGTAACGAGGGACACCTCAGGAATCTCTTTGAGGCTTGGCAGGGCAAAAAGGGACGCTTCTCGAGGTGAGGCAGGGCACCCAAGGTCCCTTTCCAATAGTTACATGTATTCTGGGATTCCTAACAATGTTCAAGAGGAGTCTTGCATCGTCACTCTTTGAAGTAGTGATCTCCGGGTTCCTCTCGATATGTCAAAGGGAGGTGAGGCATTCCGTCAAAATGAGGCAGGGACCTAGATCTTTCTCTAACGTCTCGACAGGGGATTCAGACATCCCTTCATGTTGTGAGATGATAGACGAGCCTGTATTCACGCCACTGCAAGGAAATCCGGCCTCCTTTCAAGTTAGGGCTTCTCGCTGTATATTCCATTTGAGGCAGCAAACTCGGGGTCTCTCCCACATAACTATTGTTGAAAGAAGCCTCCTCTTTCGGTGTTTCTGGAAAGTTGGCATACGTCTTGGGCCTAAGCCAGGGAATCAGCTCTCATCTCGAGACAATTAGGGGTACATGGAGCATTCCTCGAGTTGCTGTGCTGAAGTTGGTGTTCTTCTAGACTTGCGACAGTGTTCTCAGGCAATCTCTGGAGTTGCCTGAAGGAAGTCAAACCACTAGTCCTGTTTAATGGGGAAAGGGGGATGGCTCTGGAAGCAATGCAGGGGAATCGGGCCTCATCTCGAGTTGATTTGTTGCACATGAAACTGCTTTGCTTTGCTGGGGTGACGTCAGTGTCCGTCTAGACTTGTGACAGTGTTCTTGGTGACTGTCTCGAGATCCATTCATCTAGTGAAAGCTCCTTACATGTTTGATGATGGTCACGGAATTGTTCTGCATGCAATGCAGGGGAATCGGGCCTCATCTCGCATCTAGGGGGATGTCTCCTGGTTTTTCTCGACTTGCGGCGGGGACCTGGTGTATGTTCTTGAGTTACGGCAGGGATGGCCCTTGAAAACATGTGTTTATTCAGTGACGTCAGGACTCCTGTCTAGTAACGAGGGACACCTCAGGAATCTCTTCAAGGCTTGGCATTACAAAAGGGACGCTTCTCGAGGTGAGGCAGGGTAACCAAGGACACTTTCCAGGAGCCACAGGGATTTGGGGATTCCTAACATTGTTCAAGAGGAGTCAGGCATCGTGACATTTTCAAGCAGTGAACTCTGCCTGCCTCTCGAGGTGCCAAATGAATGTGAGGCATTCCGTCACAATGAGGCAGGGACCTAGAGCTTTCTTTAAGGTCTCGACAGGGGATTCAGACATCCCTTCATGTTGTGAGATGAAAGATGAGCCTGTATTCAAGCCACTGCAAGGAAATCTGGCCTCCTTTCAAGTTAGGGCTTCTCGCTGTATATTCCACTTGAGGCAGCAAACTCGGGGTCCCTCCCACATACCTATTGCTGAGGAAGCCTCCTCTTTCGGTGTTTCTGGAATGTTGGCATAAGTGTTGAGTCTAAGCCAGGGAATCAGCTCTCATCTCGAGACAATTTGGGGTACACGGAGCATTCCTCGAGTTGCTGTGCTGAAGTTGGTGTTCTTCTAGACTTGGGACAGTGTTCTCGGGGAATCTCTGGAGTTGCCTGAAGGAAGTCGAGCCAATGGTCGTGTTTAATGGGGAATGGGGAATGGCTCTGGAATCATTGCAGGTGAATCAATCCTCTTCTCGAGTTGATTTGGGGCACGTGGAGCTGCTTTGCATTGCTGGGGTGACCTCAGGGTCCGTCTAGACTTGTGACAGTGTTCTTGGGGACTGTCTTGAGATCCATCAACTAAGTCGAAGCTCCTTACAGGTTTGATGGAGATCATGGAATGGCTCTGATGCAATGCAGGGGAATTGGGCCTCATCTCGCCTCTAGGGGGAAGTCACATGGTTTTTCTCGATTTTCCGCGGCGACCTAGGGTATGTTCTCGAGGTACAGCGGGGATGGCCCTTCAAAACACGTGTTTATTCAGTGACAACAGGACTCCTGTCTAGTAATGAGGGACACCTCAGGAATATTTTGAGGCTTGGCAGGGCAAAAGGGACGCTTCTCGAGGTGAGGCAGGGCACCCAAGGACCCTTTTCAGGAGCCACAGGGATTTGAGATTCATAACATTTTTCAAGAGGAGTCAGGCATCGTGACATTTTGAGGCAGTGAACTCCGCCTGCCTCTCGAGCTGCCATATGGATGTGAGGCATTCCGTCAATGAGGCAGGGACCTAGAGCTCTGCTAAGGTCTCGACAGGGGATTCAGACATCCCTTCATGTTTGAGATGAAAGACGAGCCTGTATTCAAGCCACTGCAAGGAAATCCGGCCTCCTTTCAAGTTAGGGCTTCTCGCTGTATATTCCACTTGAGGCAGCAAACTCGGGGTCCCTCCCACATTCCTATTGCTGAGGAAGCCTCCTCTCTCGCTGTCTCTGGAAAGTTGGCATAAGTTTTGAGTCTAAGCCGGGGAATCAGCTCTCATCTCGAGACGATTAGGGGTACACGGAACATTCCTCGAGTTGCTGTGCTGAAGTTCGTGTTCTTCTAGAGCTGGGACAGTGTCCTTGGGGAATATCTGGAATTGTGTGAAGGAAGTCGAGCCACTGGCCGTATTTAATGTGTAACGGGGGTTGGCTCTGGAGTCAATGAAGGGGAATCTGACCTCATCTCGAGTTGATTTGGGGCACATGGAGCTGCTTTGCATTGCTGGCGTGACCTCAGGGCCCGTCTAGACTTGTGACAGTGTTCTTGGGGACTGTCTTGAGATCTAAAAACCAAGTCGAAGCTCCTTACATGTTTGATGGAGATCACAGAATGGCTCTGCATGCAATGCAGGGGAATCGGGCCTCATCTCGCCTCTAGGGGGAAGTCACATGGTTTTTCTCGATTTTCGGCGGCGACCTGGGGAATGTTCTCGAGTTTCAGCGGGGATGGCCCTTCAAAACACGTGTTTATATAGTGATGTCACGACTCCTGTCTAGTAACGAGGGACACCTCAGAAATCTCTTTGAGGCTTGACAGGGCAAAAAGGGACGCTTCTCGAAGTGAGGCAGGGCACCCAAGGTCCCTTTCCAATAGTTACATGTATTTTGGGATTCCTAACAATGTTCAAGAGGAGTCTTGCATCATCACCCTTTGAAGTAGTGATCTCCGGGTTCCTCTCGATGTGTCAAAGGGATCTGAGGCATTCCGTCAAAATGAGGCAGGGACCTAGATCTTTCTCTAACGTCTCGACAGGGTGTCAGACATCCCTTCATGTTGTGAGATGATAGACGAGCCTGTATTCACGCCACTGCAAGGAAATCCGGCCTCCTTTCAAGTTAGGGCTTCTCGCTGTATATTCAATTTGAGGCAGCAAACTCGGGGTTCCTCCCACATACCTATTGCTGAGAGAAGCCTCCTCTTTCGGTGTTTCTGGAAAGTTGGCATACGTCTTGAGCCTAAGCCAGGGAATCTGCTCTCATGTCAAGACGATTAGGGGTACAAGGAGCATTCCTCGAGTTGCTGTGCAGAAGTTGGTGTTCTTCTAGACTTGGGACAGTGTTCTCAGGGAATCTCTGGAGTTGCCTGAAGGAAGTCAAACCACTGGTCGTGTTTAATGGGGAAAGGGGGATGGCTCTTGAATCAATTCAGGGGAATCGGGCCTCATCTCGAGTTGATTTGCTGCACATGCAGCTGCTTTTCTTTGCTGGGGTGACCTCAGGGTCCGTCTAGACTTGTGACAGTGTTCTTGGGGACTATCTCAAGATCCATTAATCGAGTCGAAGGTCCTTACATGTTTGATGATGATCACGGAATTGTTCTGCATGCAATGCAGGGGAATCGGGCCTCATCTCGCATCTAGGGGGCAGTCTCCTGGTTTTTCTCGAGTTGAGGCGGGGACCTGGTGTATATTCTCGAGTTTCGGCGGGGATGCCCCTTTAAAACATGTGTTTATTCAGTGACGTCAGGACATCTGTCTAGTAACGGGGGACACCTCAGGAATCTCTTCGAGGCTTGGCATTGCAAAAGAGACGCTTCTCGAGGAGAGGCAGGCCACCCAAGGACCCTTTCCAGGAGCCACAGGGATTCTGGGATTCCTAACATTGTTCAAGAGGAGTCAGGCATCGTCACCTTTTGAAGCAGTGAACTCCGCCTGCCTCTCGAGGTGCCAAATTTATGAGAGGCATTCCGTCAAAATGAGGCAGGGACCTAGATCTTTCTCTAAGGTCTCGAGAGGGGATTCAGACATCTCTTCATGTTGTGAGATGAAAGACAGGCCTGCATTCACGCCACTGCAAGGAAATCCGGCCTCCTTTCAAGTTAGGGCTTCTCGCTGTATATTCCACTTGCGGCAGCAAACTCGGTGTCCCTCCCACATACCTATTGCTGAGGAAGCCTACTCTTTCGGTTTGTCTGGAAAGATGGCATAAGTGTTGAGTCTAAGCTAGGGAATCTGCTCTCATCTCGAGACGATCTGGGGTACACGGACCATTCCTCGAGTTGCTGTGCTGAAGTTGGTGTTCTTCTAGACTTGGGACAGTGTCCTTGGGGAATCTCTGGAATTGTGTGAAGGAAGTCGAGCCACTGGTCTTATTTAATGGGGATGGGGGAAGGCTCTGGAGTCAATGCAGGGGAATCTGGCCTCATCTCGAGTTGATTTGGGGCACATAGAGCTGCTTTGCGTTGCTGGGGTGACCTCAGGGTCCGTCTAGACTTGTGACAGTGTTCTTGGGGACTGTCTTGAGATCCATTAACCAAGTCGAAGCTCCTTACATGTTTGATGGAGATCACAGAATCGCTCTGCATGAAATGCAGCGGAATCGGGCCTCATCCAACTTCTAGGGGGAAGTCACATGGTTTTGCTCGATTTTCGGTGGCGACCTGGGGTATCTTCTCGAGTTAAGGCGGGGATGGCCCTTCAAAACACGTGTTTATATAGTGATGTCACGTCTCCTGTCCAGTAACGAGGGACACGTCAGGAATCTCTTTGAGGCTTGGCAGGGTAAAACGAACGCTTCTCGAGGTAAGGCAGGGCACCCAAGGACGCTTTCCAGTAGTCACAGGGATTTGGGGATTCCTAACAATGTTCAAGAGGAGTCATGCATCGTCACCCTTTGAAGTAGTGATCTCCGAGTGCCTCTCGATGTGTCAAAGGGATGTGAGGCATTCCGTCAAAATGAGGCAGGGACCTAGATCTTTCTCTAACGTCTCGACAGGGGATTCAGACATCCCTTCATGTTGTGACATGAAAGACGAGCCTGTATTCACACCACTGCAAGGAAATACGGCCTCCTTTCAAGTTAGGGCTTCTCACTGTATATTCCATTTGAGGCAGCAAACTCGGGGTCCCTCCCACATAACTATTGTTGAAAGAAGCCTCCTCTTTCGGTGTTTCTGGAAAGTTGGCATACGTCTTGGGCCTAAGCCAGGGAATCAGCTCTCATCTCGAGACAATTAGGGGTACATGGAGCATTCCTCGAGTTGCTGTGCTGAAGTTGGTGTTCTTCTAGACTTGCGACAGTGTTCTCAGGCAATCTCTGGAGTTGCCTGAAGGAAGTCAAACCACTAGTCCTGTTTAATGGGGAAAGGGGGATGGCTCTGGAAGCAATGCAGGGGAATCGGGCCTCATCTCGAGTTGATTTGTTGCACATGAAACTGCTTTGCTTTGCTGGGGTGACGTCAGTGTCCGTCTAGACTTGTGACAGTGTTCTTGGGGACTGTCTCGAGATCCATTCATCTAGTGAAAGCTCCTTACATGTTTGATGATGGTCACGGAATTGTTCTGCATGCAATGCAGGGGAATCGGGCCTCATCTCGCATCTAGGGGGATGTCTCCTGGTTTTTCTCGACTTGCGGCGGGGACCTGGTGTATGTTCTTGAGTTACGGCAGGGATGGCCCTTGAAAACATGTGTTTATTCAGTGACGTCAGGACTCCTGTCTAGTAACGAGGGACACCTCAGGAATCTCTTCAAGGCTTGGCATTACAAAAGGGACGCTTCTCGAGGTGAGGCAGGGTAACCAAGGACACTTTCCAGGAGCCACAGGGATTTGGGGATTCCTAACATTGTTCAAGAGGAGTCAGGCATCGTGACATTTTCAAGCAGTGAACTCTGCCTGCCTCTCGAGGTGCCAAATGAATGTGAGGCATTCCGTCACAATGAGGCAGGGACCTAGAGCTTTCTTTAAGGTCTCGACAGGGGATTCAGACATCCCTTCATGTTGTGAGATGAAAGATGAGCCTGTATTCAAGCCACTGCAAGGAAATCTGGCCTCCTTTCAAGTTAGGGCTTCTCGCTGTATATTCCACTTGAGGCAGCAAACTCGGGGTCCCTCCCACATACCTATTGCTGAGGAAGCCTCCTCTTTCGGTGTTTCTGGAATGTTGGCATAAGTGTTGAGTCTAAGCCAGGGAATCAGCTCTCATCTCGAGACAATTTGGGGTACACGGAGCATTCCTCGAGTTGCTGTGCTGAAGTTGGTGTTCTTCTAGACTTGGGACAGTGTTCTCGGGGAATCTCTGGAGTTGCCTGAAGGAAGTCGAGCCAATGGTCGTGTTTAATGGGGAATGGGGAATGGCTCTGGAATCATTGCAGGTGAATCAATCCTCTTCTCGAGTTGATTTGGGGCACGTGGAGCTGCTTTGCATTGCTGGGGTGACCTCAGGGTCCGTCTAGACTTGTGACAGTGTTCTTGGGGACTGTCTTGAGATCCATCAACTAAGTCGAAGCTCCTTACAGGTTTGATGGAGATCATGGAATGGCTCTGATGCAATGCAGGGGAATTGGGCCTCATCTCGCCTCTAGGGGGAAGTCACATGGTTTTTCTCGATTTTCCGCGGCGACCTAGGGTATGTTCTCGAGGTACAGCGGGGATGGCCCTTCAAAACACGTGTTTATTCAGTGACAACAGGACTCCTGTCTAGTAATGAGGGACACCTCAGGAATATTTTGAGGCTTGGCAGGGCAAAAGGGACGCTTCTCGAGGTGAGGCAGGGCACCCAAGGACCCTTTTCAGGAGCCACAGGGATTTGAGATTCATAACATTTTTCAAGAGGAGTCAGGCATCGTGACATTTTGAGGCAGTGAACTCCGCCTGCCTCTCGAGCTGCCATATGGATGTGAGGCATTCCGTCAATGAGGCAGGGACCTAGAGCTCTGCTAAGGTCTCGACAGGGGATTCAGACATCCCTTCATGTTTGAGATGAAAGACGAGCCTGTATTCAAGCCACTGCAAGGAAATCCGGCCTCCTTTCAAGTTAGGGCTTCTCGCTGTATATTCCACTTGAGGCAGCAAACTCGGGGTCCCTCCCACATTCCTATTGCTGAGGAAGCCTCCTCTCTCGCTGTCTCTGGAAAGTTGGCATAAGTTTTGAGTCTAAGCCGGGGAATCAGCTCTCATCTCGAGACGATTAGGGGTACACGGAACATTCCTCGAGTTGCTGTGCTGAAGTTCGTGTTCTTCTAGAGCTGGGACAGTGTCCTTGGGGAATATCTGGAATTGTGTGAAGGAAGTCGAGCCACTGGCCGTATTTAATGTGTAACGGGGGTTGGCTCTGGAGTCAATGAAGGGGAATCTGACCTCATCTCGAGTTGATTTGGGGCACATGGAGCTGCTTTGCATTGCTGGCGTGACCTCAGGGCCCGTCTAGACTTGTGACAGTGTTCTTGGGGACTGTCTTGAGATCTAAAAACCAAGTCGAAGCTCCTTACATGTTTGATGGAGATCACAGAATGGCTCTGCATGCAATGCAGGGGAATCGGGCCTCATCTCGCCTCTAGGGGGAAGTCACATGGTTTTTCTCGATTTTCGGCGGCGACCTGGGGAATGTTCTCGAGTTTCAGCGGGGATGGCCCTTCAAAACACGTGTTTATATAGTGATGTCACGACTCCTGTCTAGTAACGAGGGACACCTCAGAAATCTCTTTGAGGCTTGGCAGGGCAAAAAGGGACGCTTCTCGAAGTGAGGCAGGGCACCCAAGGTCCCTTTCCAATAGTTACATGTATTTTGGGATTCCTAACAATGTTCAAGAGGAGTCTTGCATCATCACCCTTTGAAGTAGTGATCTCCGGGTTCCTCTCGATGTGTCAAAGGGATCTGAGGCATTCCGTCAAAATGAGGCAGGGACCTAGATCTTTCTCTAACGTCTCGACAGGGTGTCAGACATCCCTTCATGTTGTGAGATGATAGACGAGCCTGTATTCACGCCACTGCAAGGAAATCCGGCCTCCTTTCAAGTTAGGGCTTCTCGCTGTATATTCAATTTGAGGCAGCAAACTCGGGGTTCCTCCCACATACCTATTGCTGAGAGAAGCCTCCTCTTTCGGTGTTTCTGGAAAGTTGGCATACGTCTTGAGCCTAAGCCAGGGAATCTGCTCTCATGTCAAGACGATTAGGGGTACAAGGAGCATTCCTCGAGTTGCTGTGCAGAAGTTGGTGTTCTTCTAGACTTGGGACAGTGTTCTCAGGGAATCTCTGGAGTTGCCTGAAGGAAGTCAAACCACTGGTCGTGTTTAATGGGGAAAGGGGGATGGCTCTTGAATCAATTCAGGGGAATCGGGCCTCATCTCGAGTTGATTTGCTGCACATGCAGCTGCTTTTCTTTGCTGGGGTGACCTCAGGGTCCGTCTAGACTTGTGACAGTGTTCTTGGGGACTATCTCAAGATCCATTAATCGAGTCGAAGGTCCTTACATGTTTGATGATGATCACGGAATTGTTCTGCATGCAATGCAGGGGAATCGGGCCTCATCTCGCATCTAGGGGGCAGTCTCCTGGTTTTTCTCGAGTTGAGGCGGGGACCTGGTGTATATTCTCGAGTTTCGGCGGGGATGCCCCTTTAAAACATGTGTTTATTCAGTGACGTCAGGACATCTGTCTAGTAACGGGGGACACCTCAGGAATCTCTTCGAGGCTTGGCATTGCAAAAGAGACGCTTCTCGAGGAGAGGCAGGCCACCCAAGGACCCTTTCCAGGAGCCACAGGGATTCTGGGATTCCTAACATTGTTCAAGAGGAGTCAGGCATCGTCACCTTTTGAAGCAGTGAACTCCGCCTGCCTCTCGAGGTGCCAAATTTATGAGAGGCATTCCGTCAAAATGAGGCAGGGACCTAGATCTTTCTCTAAGGTCTCGAGAGGGGATTCAGACATCTCTTCATGTTGTGAGATGAAAGACAGGCCTGCATTCACGCCACTGCAAGGAAATCCGGCCTCCTTTCAAGTTAGGGCTTCTCGCTGTATATTCCACTTGCGGCAGCAAACTCGGTGTCCCTCCCACATACCTATTGCTGAGGAAGCCTACTCTTTCGGTTTGTCTGGAAAGATGGCATAAGTGTTGAGTCTAAGCTAGGGAATCTGCTCTCATCTCGAGACGATCTGGGGTACACGGACCATTCCTCGAGTTGCTGTGCTGAAGTTGGTGTTCTTCTAGACTTGGGACAGTGTCCTTGGGGAATCTCTGGAATTGTGTGAAGGAAGTCGAGCCACTGGTCTTATTTAATGGGGATGGGGGAAGGCTCTGGAGTCAATGCAGGGGAATCTGGCCTCATCTCGAGTTGATTTGGGGCACATAGAGCTGCTTTGCGTTGCTGGGGTGACCTCAGGGTCCGTCTAGACTTGTGACAGTGTTCTTGGGGACTGTCTTGAGATCCATTAACCAAGTCGAAGCTCCTTACATGTTTGATGGAGATCACAGAATCGCTCTGCATGAAATGCAGCGGAATCGGGCCTCATCCAACTTCTAGGGGGAAGTCACATGGTTTTGCTCGATTTTCGGTGGCGACCTGGGGTATCTTCTCGAGTTAAGGCGGGGATGGCCCTTCAAAACACGTGTTTATATAGTGATGTCACGTCTCCTGTCCAGTAACGAGGGACACGTCAGGAATCTCTTTGAGGCTTGGCAGGGTAAAACGAACGCTTCTCGAGGTAAGGCAGGGCACCCAAGGACGCTTTCCAGTAGTCACAGGGATTTGGGGATTCCTAACAATGTTCAAGAGGAGTCATGCATCGTCACCCTTTGAAGTAGTGATCTCCGAGTGCCTCTCGATGTGTCAAAGGGATGTGAGGCATTCCGTCAAAATGAGGCAGGGACCTAGATCTTTCTCTAACGTCTCGACAGGGGATTCAGACATCCCTTCATGTTGTGACATGAAAGACGAGCCTGTATTCACACCACTGCAAGGAAATACGGCCTCCTTTCAAGTTAGGGCTTCTCACTGTATATTCCATTTGAGGCAGCAAACTCGGGGTCCCTCCCACATAACTATTGTTGAAAGAAGCCTCCTCTTTCGGTGTTTCTGGAAAGTTGGCATACGTCTTGGGCCTAAGCCAGGGAATCAGCTCTCATCTCGAGACAATTAGGGGTACATGGAGCATTCCTCGAGTTGCTGTGCTGAAGTTGGTGTTCTTCTAGACTTGCGACAGTGTTCTCAGGCAATCTCTGGAGTTGCCTGAAGGAAGTCAAACCACTAGTCCTGTTTAATGGGGAAAGGGGGATGGCTCTGGAAGCAATGCAGGGGAATCGGGCCTCATCTCGAGTTGATTTGTTGCACATGAAACTGCTTTGCTTTGCTGGGGTGACGTCAGTGTCCGTCTAGACTTGTGACAGTGTTCTTGGGGACTGTCTCGAGATCCATTCATCTAGTGAAAGCTCCTTACATGTTTGATGATGGTCACGGAATTGTTCTGCATGCAATGCAGGGGAATCGGGCCTCATCTCGCATCTAGGGGGATGTCTCCTGGTTTTTCTCGACTTGCGGCGGGGACCTGGTGTATGTTCTTGAGTTACGGCAGGGATGGCCCTTGAAAACATGTGTTTATTCAGTGACGTCAGGACTCCTGTCTAGTAACGAGGGACACCTCAGGAATCTCTTCAAGGCTTGGCATTACAAAAGGGACACTTCTCGAGGTGAGGCAGGGTAACCAAGGACACTTTCCAGGAGCCACAGGGATTTGGGGATTCCTAACATTGTTCAAGAGGAGTCAGGCATCGTGACATTTTCAAGCAGTGAACTCTGCCTGCCTCTCGAGGTGCCAAATGAATGTGAGGCATTCCGTCACAATGAGGCAGGGAACTAGAGCTTTCTTTAAGGTCTCGACAGGGGATTCAGACATCCCTTCATGTTGTGAGATGAAAGATGAGCCTGTATTCAAGCCACTGCAAGGAAATCTGGCCTCCTTTCAAGTTAGGGCTTCTCGCTGTATATTCCACTTGAGGCAGCAAACTCGGGGTCCCTCCCACATACCTATTGCTGAGGAAGCCTCCTCTTTCGGTGTTTCTGGAATGTTGGCATAAGTGTTGAGTCCAAGCCAGGGAATCAGCTCTCATCTCGAGACAATTTGGGGTACACGGAGCATTCCTCGAGTTGCTGTGCTGAAGTTGGTGTTCTTCTAGACTTGGGACAGTGTTCTCGGGGAATCTCTGGAGTTGCCTGAAGGAAGTCGAGCCAATGGTCGTGTTTAATGGGGAATGGGGAATGGCTCTGGAATCATTGCAGGTGAATCAATCCTCTTCTCGAGTTGATTTGGGGCACGTGGAGCTGCTTTGCATTGCTGGGGTGACCTCAGGGTCCGTCTAGACTTGTGACAGTGTTCTTGGGGACTGTCTTGAGATCCATTAACTAAGTCGAAGCTCCTTACAGGTTTGATGGAGATCATGGAATGGCTCTGATGCAATGCAGGGGAATTGGGCCTCATCTCGCCTCTAGGGGGAAGTCACATGGTTTTTCTCGATTTTCCGCGGCGACCTGGGGTATGTTCTCGAGGTACAGCGGGGATGGCCCTTCAAAACACGTGTTTATTCAGTGACAACAGGACTCCTGTCTAGTAATGAGGGACACCTCAGGAATATTTTGAGGCTTGGCAGGGCAAAAGGGACGCTTCTCGAGGTGAGGCAGGGCACCCAAGGACCCTTTTCAGGAGCCACAGGGATTTGAGATTCATAACATTTTTCAAGAGGAGTCAGGCATCGTGACATTTTGAGGCAGTGAACTCCGCCTGCCTCTCGAGCTGCCATATGGATGTGAGGCATTCCGTCAATGAGGCAGGGACCTAGAGCTCTGCTAAGGTCTCGACAGGGGATTCAGACATCCCTTCATGTTTGAGATGAAAGACGAGCCTGTATTCAAGCCACTGCAAGGAAATCCGGCCTCCTTTCAAGTTAGGGCTTCTCGCTGTATATTCCACTTGAGGCAGCAAACTCGGGGTCCCTCCCACATACCTATTGCTGAGGAAGCCTCCTCTCTCGCTGCCTCTGGAAAGTTGGCATAAGTTTTGAGTCTAAGCCGGGGAATCAGCTCTCATCTCGAGACGATTAGGGGTACACGGAACATTCCTCGAGTTGCTGTGCTGAAGTTCGTGTTCTTCTAGAGCTGGGACAGTGTCCTTGGGGAATATCTGGAATTGTGTGAAGGAAGTCGAGCCACTGGCCGTATTTAATGTGTAACGGGGGTTGGCTCTGGAGTCAATGAAGGGGAATCTGACCTCATCTCGAGTTGATTTGGGGCACATGGAGCTGCTTTGCATTGCTGGCGTGACCTCAGGGCCCGTCTAGACTTGTGACAGTGTTCTTGGGGACTGTCTTGAGATCCAAAAACCAAGTCGAAGCTCCTTACATGTTTGATGGAGATCACAGAATGGCTCTGCATGCAATGCAGGGGAATCGGGCCTCATCTCGCCTCTAGGGGGAAGTCACATGGTTTTTCTCGATTTTCGGCGGCGACCTGGGGAATGTTCTCGAGTTTCAGCGGGGATGGCCCTTCAAAACACGTGTTTATATAGTGATGTCACGACTCCTGTCTAGTAACGAGGGACACCTCAGAAATCTCTTTGAGGCTTGGCAGGGCAAAAAGGGACGCTTCTCGAAGTGAGGCAGGGCACCCAAGGTCCCTTTCCAATAGTTACATGTATTTTGGGATTCCTAACAATGTTCAAGAGGAGTCTTGCATCATCACCCTTTGAAGTAGTGATCTCTGGGTTCCTCTCGATGTGTCAAAGGGATCTGAGGCATTCCGTCAAAATGAGGCAGGGACCTAGATCTTTCTCTAACGTCTCGACAGGGTGTCAGACATCCCTTCATGTTGTGAGATGATAGACGAGCCTGTATTCACGCCACTGCAAGGAAATCCGGCCTCCTTTCAAGTTAGGGCTTCTCGCTGTATATTCAATTTGAGGCAGCAAACTCGGGGTTCCTCCCACATACCTATTGCTGAGAGAAGCCTCCTCTTTCGGTGTTTCTGGAAAGTTGGCATACGTCTTGAGCCTAAGCCAGGGAATCTGCTCTCATGTCAAGACGATTAGGGGTACAAGGAGCATTCCTCGAGTTGCTGTGCAGAAGTTGGTGTTCTTCTAGACTTGGGACAGTGTTCTCAGGGAATCTCTGGAGTTGCCTGAAGGAAGTCAAACCACTGGTCGTGTTTAATGGGGAAAGGGGGATGGCTCTTGAATCAATTCAGGGGAATCGGGCCTCATCTCGAGTTGATTTGCTGCACATGCAGCTGCTTTTCTTTGCTGGGGTGACCTCAGGGTCCGTCTAGACTTGTGACAGTGTTCTTGGGGACTATCTCAAGATCCATTAATCGAGTCGAAGGTCCTTACATGTTTGATGATGATCACGGAATTGTTCTGCATGCAATGCAGGGGAATCGGGCCTCATCTCGCATCTAGGGGGCAGTCTCCTGGTTTTTCTCGAGTTGAGGCGGGGACCTGGTGTATATTCTCGAGTTTCGGCGGGGATGCCCCTTTAAAACATGTGTTTATTCAGTGACGTCAGGACATCTGTCTAGTAACGGGGGACACCTCAGGAATCTCTTCGAGGCTTGGCATTGCAAAAGAGACGCTTCTCGAGGAGAGGCAGGCCACCCAAGGACCCTTTCCAGGAGCCACAGGGATTCTGGGATTCCTAACATTGTTCAAGAGGAGTCAGGCATCGTCACCTTTTGAAGCAGTGAACTCCGCCTGCCTCTCGAGGTGCCAAATTTATGAGAGGCATTCCGTCAAAATGAGGCAGGGACCTAGATCTTTCTCTAAGGTCTCGAGAGGGGATTCAGACATCTCTTCATGTTGTGAGATGAAAGACAGGCCTGCATTCACGCCACTGCAAGGAAATCCGGCCTCCTTTCAAGTTAGGGCTTCTCGCTGTATATTCCACTTGCGGCAGCAAACTCGGTGTCCCTCCCACATACCTATTGCTGAGGAAGCCTACTCTTTCGGTTTGTCTGGAAAGATGGCATAAGTGTTGAGTCTAAGCTAGGGAATCTGCTCTCATCTCGAGACGATCTGGGGTACACGGACCATTCCTCGAGTTGCTGTGCTGAAGTTTGTGTTCTTCTAGACTTGGGACAGTGTCCTTGGGGAATCTCTGGAATTGTGTGAAGGAAGTCGAGCCACTGGTCTTATTTAATGGGGATGGGGGAAGGCTCTGGAGTCAATGCAGGGGAATCTGGCCTCATCTCGAGTTGATTTGGGGCACATAGAGCTGCTTTGCGTTGCTGGGGTGACCTCAGTGACCGTCTAGACTTGTGACAGTGTTCTTGGGGACTGTCTTGAGATCCATTAACCAAGTCGAAGCTCCTTACATGTTTGAAGGAGATCACAGAATCGCTCTGAATGAAATGCAGCGGAATCGGGCCTCATCCAACTTCTAGGGGGAAGTCACATGGTTTTGCTCGATTTTCGGTGGCGACCTGGGGTATCTTCTCGAGTTAAGGCGGGGATGGCCCTTCAAAACACGTGTTTATATAGTGATGTCACGTCTCCTGTCCAGTAACGAGGGACACGTCAGGAATCTCTTTGAGGCTTGGCAGGGTAAAACGAACGCTTCTCGAGGTAAGGCAGGGCACCCAAGGACCCTTTCCAGTAGTCACAGGGATTTGGGGATTCCTAACAATGTTCAAGAGGAGTCATGCATCGTCACCCTTTGAAGTAGTGATCTCCGAGTGCCTCTCGATGTGTCAAAGGGATGTGAGGCATTCCGTCAAAATGAGGCAGGGACCTAGATCTTTCTCTAACGTCTCGACAGGGGATTCAGACATCCCTTCCTGTTGTGACATGAAAGACGAGCCTGTATTCACACCACTGCAAGGAAATCCGGCCTCCTTTCAAGTTAGGGCTTCTCACTGTATATTCCATTTGAGGCAGCAAACTCGGGGTCCCTCCCACATAACTATTGTTGAAAGAAGCCTCCTCTTTCGGTGTTTTTGGAAAGTTGGCATACGTCTTGGGCCTAAGCCAGGGAATCAGCTCTCATCTCGAGACAATTAGGGGTACATGGAGCATTCCTCGAGTTGCTGTGCTGAAGTTGGTGTTCTTCTAGACTTGCGACAGTGTTCTCAGGCAATCTCTGGAGTTGCCTGAAGGAAGTCAAACCACTAGTCCTGTTTAATGGGGAAAGGGGGATGGCTCTGGAAGCAATGCAGGGGAATCGGGCCTCATCTCGAGTTGATTTGTTGCACATGAAACTGCTTTGCTTTGCTGGGGTGACGTCAGTGTCCGTCTAGACTTGTGACAGTGTTCTTGGGGATTGTCTCGAGATCCATTCATCTAGTGAAAGCTCCTTACATGTTTGATGATGGTCACGGAATTGTTCTGCATGCAATGCAGGGGAATCGGGCCTCATCTCGCATCTAGGGGGATGTCTCCTGGTTTTTCTCGACTTGCGGCGGGGACCTGGTGTATGTTCTTGAGTTACGGTGGGGATGGCCCTTCAAAACACGTGTTTATTCAGTGACGTCAGGACTCCTGTCTAGTAACGAGGGACACCTCAGGAATCTCTTTGAGGCTTGGCAGGGCAAAAAGGGACGCTTCTCGAGGTGAGGCAGGGCACCCAAGGTCCCTTTCCAATAGTTACATGTATTCTGGGATTCCTAACAATGTTCAAGAGGAGTCTTGCATCGTCACTCTTTGAAGTAGTGATCTCCGGGTTCCTCTCGATATGTCAAAGGGATGTGAGGCATTCCGTCAAAATGAGGCAGGGACCTAGATCTTTCTCTAACGTCTCGACAGGGGATTCAGACATCCCTTCATGTTGTGAGATGATAGACGAGCCTGTATTCACGCCACTGCAAGGAAATCCGGCCTCCTTTCAAGTTAGGGCTTCTCGCTGTATATTCCATTTGAGGCAGCAAACTCGGGGTCTCTCCCACATAACTATTGTTGAAAGAAGCCTCCTCTTTCGGTGTTTCTGGAAAATTGGCATACGTCTTGGGCCTAAGCCAGGGAATCAGCTCTCATCTCGAGACAATTAGGGGTACATGGAGCATTCCTCGAGTTGCTGTGCTGAAGTTGGTGTTCTTCTAGACTTGCGACAGTGTTCTCAGGCAATCTCTGGAGTTGCCTGAAGGAAGTCAAACCACTAGTCCTGTTTAATGGGGAAAGGGGGATGGCTCTGGAAGCAATGCAGGGGAATCGGGCCTCATCTCGAGTTGATTTGTTGCACATGAAACTGCTTTGCTTTGCTGGGGTGACGTCAGTGTCCGTCTAGACTTGTGACAGTGTTCTTGGGGACTGTCTCGAGATCCATTCATCTAGTGAAAGCTCCTTACATGTTTGATGATGGTCACGGAATTGTTCTGCATGCAATGCAGGGGAATCGGGCCTCATCTCGCATTTAGGGGGATGTCTCCTGGTTTTTCTCGACTTGCGGCGGGGACCTGGTGTATGTTCTTGAGTTACGGCAGGGATGGCCCTTGAAAACATGTGTTTATTCAGTGACGTCAGGACTCCTGTCTAGTAACGAGGGACACCTCAGGAATCTCTTCAAGGCTTGGCATTACAAAAGGGACGCTTCTCGAGGTGAGGCAGGGTAACCAAGGACACTTTCCAGGAGCCACAGGGATTTGGGGATTCCTAACATTGTTCAAGAGGAGTCAGGCATCGTGACATTTTCAAGCAGTGAACTCTGCCTGCCTCTCGAGGTGCAAAATGAATGTGAGGCATTCCGTCACAATGAGGCAGGGACCTAGAGCTTTCTTTAAGGTCTCGACAGGGGATTCAGACATCCCTTCATGTTGTGAGATGAAAGATGAGCCTGTATTCAAGCCACTGCAAGGAAATCTGGCCTCCTTTCAAGTTAGGGCTTCTCGCTGTATATTCCACTTGAGGCAGCAAACTCGGGGTCCCTCCCACATACCTATTGCTGAGGAAGCCTCCTCTTTCGGTGTTTCTGGAATGTTGGCATAAGTGTTGAGTCTAAGCCAGGGAATCAGCTCTCATCTCGAGACAATTTGGGGTACACGGAGCATTCCTCGAGTTGCTGTGCTGAAGTTGGTGTTCTTCTAGACTTGGGACAGTGTTCTCGGGGAATCTCTGGAGTTGCCTGAAGGAAGTCGAGCCAATGGTCGTGTTTAATGGGGAATGGGGAATGGCTCTGGAATCATTGCAGGTGAATCAATCCTCTTCTCGAGTTGATTTGGGGCACGTGGAGCTGCTTTGCATTGCTGGGGTGACCTCAGGGTCCGTCTAGACTTGTGACAGTGTTCTTGGGGACTGTCTTGAGATCCATCAACTAAGTCGAAGCTCCTTACAGGTTTGATGGAGATCATGGAATGGCTCTGATGCAATGCAGGGGAATTGGGCCTCATCTCGCCTCTAGGGGGAAGTCACATGGTTTTTCTCGATTTTCCGCGGCGACCTGGGGTATGTTCTCGAGGTACAGCGGGGATGGCCCTTCAAAACACGTGTTTATTCAGTGACAACAGGACTCCTGTCTAGTAATGAGGGACACCTCAGGAATATTTTGAGGCTTGGCAGGGCAAAAGGGACACTTCTCGAGGTGAGGCAGGGCACCCAAGGACCCTTTTCAGGAGCCACAGGGATTTGAGATTCATAACATTTTTCAAGAGGAGTCAGGCATCGTGACATTTTGAGGCAGTGAACTCCGCCTGCCTCTCGAGCTGCCATATGGATGTGAGGCATTCCGTCAATGAGGCAGGGACCTAGAGCTCTGCTAAGGTCTCGACAGGGGATTCAGACATCCCTTCATGTTTGAGATGAAAGACGAGCCTGTATTCAAGCCACTGCAAGGAAATCCGGCCTCCTTTCAAGTTAGGGCTTCTCGCTGTATATTCCACTTGAGGCAGCAAACTCGGGGTCCCTCCCACATACCTATTGCTGAGGAAGCCTCCTCTCTCGCTGCCTCTGGAAAGTTGGCATAAGTTTTGAGTCTAAGCCGGGGAATCAGCTCTCATCTCGAGACGATTAGGGGTACACGGAACATTCCTCGAGTTGCTGTGCTGAAGTTCGTGTTCTTCTAGAGCTGGGACAGTGTCCTTGGGGAATATCTGGAATTGTGTGAAGGAAGTCGAGCCACTGGCCGTATTTAATGTGTAACGGGGGTTGGCTCTGGAGTCAATGAAGGGGAATCTGACCTCATCTCGAGTTGATTTGGGGCACATGGAGCTGCTTTGCATTGCTGGCGTGACCTCAGGGCCCATCTAGACTTGTGACAGTGTTCTTGGGGACTGTCTTGAGATCCAAAAACCAAGTCGAAGCTCCTTACATGTTTGATGGAGATCACAGAATGGCTCTGCATGCAATGCAGGGGAATCGGGCCTCATCTCGCCTCTAGGGGGAAGTCACATGGTTTTTCTCGATTTTCGGCGGCGACCTGGGGAATGTTCTCGAGTTTCAGCGGGGATGGCCCTTCAAAACACGTGTTTATATAGTGATGTCACGACTCCTGTCTAGTAACGAGGGACACCTCAGAAATCTCTTTGAGGCTTGGCAGGGCAAAGAGGGACGCTTCTCGAAGTGAGGCAGGGCACCCAAGGTCCCTTTCCAATAGTTACATGTATTTTGGGATTCCTAACAATGTTCAAGAGGAGTCTTGCATCATCACCCTTTGAAGTAGTGATCTCCGGGTTCCTCTCGATGTGTCAAAGGGATCTGAGGCATTCCGTCAAAATGAGGCAGGGACCTAGATCTTTCTCTAACGTCTCGACAGGGTGTCAGACATCCCTTCATGTTGTGAGATGATAGACGAGCCTGTATTCACGCCACTGCAAGGAAATCCGGCCTCCTTTCAAGTTAGGGCTTCTCGCTGTATATTCAATTTGAGGCAGCAAACTCGGGGTTCCTCCCACATACCTATTGCTGAGAGAAGCCTCCTCTTTCGGTGTTTCTGGAAAGTTGGCATACGTCTTGAGCCTAAGCCAGGGAATCAGCTCTCATGTCAAGACGATTAGGGGTACAAGGAGCATTCCTCGAGTTGCTGTGCAGAAGTTGGTGTTCTTCTAGACTTGGGACAGTGTTCTCAGGGAATCTCTGGAGTTGCCTGAAGGAAGTCAAACCACTGGTCGTGTTTAATGGGGAAAGGGGGATGGCTCTTGAATCAATTCAGGGGAATCGGGCCTCATCTCGAGTTGATTTGCTGCACATGCAGCTGCTTTTCTTTGCTGGGGTGACCTCAGGATCCGTCTAGCCTTGTGACAGTGTTCTTGGGGACTATCTCAAGATCCATTAATCGAGTCGAAGGTCCTTACATGTTTGATGATGATCACGGAATTGTTCTGCATGCAATGCAGGGGAATCGGGCCTCATCTCGCATCTAGGGCGCAGTCTCCTGGTTTTTCTCGAGTTGAGGCGGGGACCTGGTGTATACTCTCGAGTTTCGGCGGGGATGCCCCTTTAAAACATGTGTTTATTCAGTGACGTCAGGACATCTGTCTAGTAACGGGGGACACCTCAGGAATCTCTTCGAGGCTTGGCATTGCAAAAGAGACGCTTCTCGAGGAGAGGCAGGCCACCCAAGGACCCTTTCCAGGAGCCACAGGGATTCTGGAATTCCTAACATTGTTCAAGAGGAGTCAGGCATCGTCACCTTTTGAAGCAGTGAACTCTGCCTGCCTCTCGAGGTGCCAAATTTATGAGAGGCATTCCGTCAAAATGAGGCAGGGACCTAGATCTTTCTCTAAGGTCTCGAGAGGGGATTCAGACATCTCTTCATGTTGTGAGATGAAAGACAGGCCTGCATTCACGCCACTGCAAGGAAATCCGGCCTCCTTTCAAGTTAGGGCTTCTCGCTGTATATTCCACTTGCGGCAGCAAACTCAGTGTCCCTCCCACATACCTATTGCTGAGGAAGCCTACTCTTTCGGTTTGTCTGGAAAGATGGCATAAGTGTTGAGTCTAAGCTAGGGAATCTGCTCTCATCTCGAGACGATCTGGGGTACACGGACCATTCCTCGAGTTGCTGTGCTGAAGTTGGTGTTCTTCTAGACTTGGGACAGTGTCCTTGGGGAATCTCTGGAATTGTGTGAAGGAAGTCGAGCCACTGGTCTTATTTAATGGGGATGGGGGAAGGCTCTGGAGTCAATGCAGGGGAATCTGGCCTCATCTCGAGTTGATTTGGGGCACATAGAGCTGCTTTGCGTTGCTGGGGTGACCTCAGGGTCCGTCTAGACTTGTGACAGTGTTCTTGGGGACTGTCTTGAGATCCATTAACCAAGTCGAAGCTCCTTACATGTTTGAAGGAGATCACAGAATCGCTCTGCATGAAATGCAGCGGAATCGGGCCTCATCCAACTTCTAGGGGGAAGTCACATGGTTTTGCTCGATTTTCGGTGGCGACCTGGGGTATCTTCTCGAGTTAAGGCGGGGATGGCCCTTCAAAACACGTGTTTATATAGTGATGTCACGTCTCCTGTCCAGTAACGAAGGACACGTCAGGAATCTCTTTGAGGCTTGGCAGGGTAAAACGAACGCTTCTCGAGGTAAGGCAGGGCACCCAAGGACCCTTTCCAGTAGTCACAGGGATTTGGGGATTCCTAACAATGTTCAAGAGGAGTCATGCATCGTCACCCTTTGAAGTAGTGATCTCCGAGTGCCTCTCGATGTGTCAAAGGGATGTGAGGCATTCCGTCAAAATGAGGCAGGGACCTAGATCTTTCTCTAACGTCTCGACAGGGGATTCAGACATCCCTTCCTGTTGTGACATGAAAGACGAGCCTGTATTCACACCACTGCAAGGAAATCCGGCCTCCTTTCAAGTTAGGGCTTCTCACTGTATATTCCATTTGAGGCAGCAAACTCGGGGTCCCTCCCACATAACTATTGTTGAAAGAAGCCTCCTCTTTCGGTGTTTTTGGAAAGTTGGCATACGTCTTGGGCCTAAGCCAGGGAATCAGCTCTCATCTCGAGACAATTAGGGGTACATGGAGCATTCCTCGAGTTGCTGTGCTGAAGTTGGTGTTCTTCTAGACTTGCGACAGTGTTCTCAGGCAATCTCTGGAGTTGCCTGAAGGAAGTCAAACCACTAGTCCTGTTTAATGGGGAAAGGGGGATGGCTCTGGAAGCAATGCAGGGGAATCGGGCCTCATCTCGAGTTGATTTGTTGCACATGAAACTGCTTTGCTTTGCTGGGGTGACGTCAGTGTCCGTCTAGACTTGTGACAGTGTTCTTGGTGACTGTCTCGAGATCCATTCATCTAGTGAAAGCTCCTTACATGTTTGATGATGGTCACGGAATTGTTCTGCATGCAATGCAGGGGAATCGGGCCTCATCTCGCATCTAGGGGGATGTCTCCTGGTTTTTCTCGACTTGCGGCGGGGACCTGGTGTATGTTCTTGAGTTACGGTGGGGATGGCCCTTCAAAACACGTGTTTATTCAGTGACGTCAGGACTCCTGTCTAGTAACGAGGGACACCTCAAGAATCTCTTTGAGGCTTGGCAGGGTAAAAAGGGACGCTTCTCGAGGTGAGGCAGGGCACCCAAGGTCCCTTTCCAATAGTTACATGTATTCTGGGATTCCTAACAATGTTCAAGAGGAGTCTTGCATCGTCACTCTTTGAAGTAGTGATCTCCGGGTTCCTCTCGATATGTCAAAGGGAGGTGAGGCATTCCGTCAAAATGAGGCAGGGACCTAGATCTTTCTCTAACGTCTCGACAGGGGATTCAGACATCCCTTCATGTTGTGAGATGATAGACGAGCCTGTATTCACGCCACTGCAAGGAAATCCGGCCTCCTTTCAAGTTAGGGCTTCTCGCTGTATATTCCATTTGAGGCAGCAAACTCGGGGTCTCTCCCACATAACTATTGTTGAAAGAAGCCTCCTCTTTCGGTGTTTCTGGAAAGTTGGCATACGTCTTGGGCCTAAGCCAGGGAATCAGCTCTCATCTCGAGACAATTAGGGGTACATGGAGCATTCCTCGAGTTGCTGTGCTGAAGTTGGTGTTCTTCTAGACTTGCGACAGTGTTCTCAGGCAATCTCTGGAGTTGCCTGAAGGAAGTCAAACCACTAGTCCTGTTTAATGGGGAAAGGGGGATGGCTCTGGAAGCAATGCAGGGGAATCGGGCCTCATCTCGAGTTGATTTGTTGCACATGAAACTGCTTTGCTTTGCTGGGGTGACGTCAGTGTCCGTCTAGACTTGTGACAGTGTTCTTGGGGACTGTCTCGAGATCCATTCATCTAGTGAAAGCTCCTTACATGTTTGATGATGGTCACGGAATTGTTCTGCATGCAATGCAGGGGAATCGGGCCTCATCTCGCATCTAGGGGGATGTCTCCTGGTTTTTCTCGACTTGCGGCGGGGACCTGGTGTATGTTCTTGAGTTACGGCAGGGATGGCCCTTGAAAACATGTGTTTATTCAGTGACGTCAGGACTCCTGTCTAGTAACGAGGGACACCTCAGGAATCTCTTCAAGGCTTGGCATTACAAAAGGGACGCTTCTCGAGGTGAGGCAGGGTAACCAAGGACACTTTCCAGGAGCCACAGGGATTTGGGGATTCCTAACATTGTTCAAGAGGAGTCAGGCATCGTGACATTTTCAAGCAGTGAACTCTGCCTGCCTCTCGAGGTGCCAAATGAATGTGAGGCATTCCGTCACAATGAGGCAGGGACCTAGAGCTTTCTTTAAGGTCTCGACAGGGGATTCAGACATCCCTTCATGTTGTGAGATGAAAGATGAGCCTGTATTCAAGCCACTGCAAGGAAATCTGGCCTCCTTTCAAGTTAGGGCTTCTCGCTGTATATTCCACTTGAGGCAGCAAACTCGGGGTCCCTCCCACATACCTATTGCTGAGGAAGCCTCCTCTTTCGGTGTTTCTGGAATGTTGGCATAAGTGTTGAGTCTAAGCCAGGGAATCAGCTCTCATCTCGAGACAATTTGGGGTACACGGAGCATTCCTCGAGTTGCTGTGCTGAAGTTGGTGTTCTTCTAGACTTGGGACAGTGTTCTCGGGGAATCTCTGGAGTTGCCTGAAGGAAGTCGAGCCAATGGTCGTGTTTAATGGGGAATGGGGAATGGCTCTGGAATCATTGCAGGTGAATCAATCCTCTTCTCGAGTTGATTTGGGGCACGTGGAGCTGCTTTGCATTGCTGGGGTGACCTCAGGGTCCGTCTAGACTTGTGACAGTGTTCTTGGGGACTGTCTTGAGATCCATCAACTAAGTCGAAGCTCCTTACAGGTTTGATGGAGATCATGGAATGGCTCTGATGCAATGCAGGGGAATTGGGCCTCATCTCGCCTCTAGGGGGAAGTCACATGGTTTTTCTCGATTTTCCGCGGCGACCTAGGGTATGTTCTCGAGGTACAGCGGGGATGGCCCTTCAAAACACGTGTTTATTCAGTGACAACAGGACTCCTGTCTAGTAATGAGGGACACCTCAGGAATATTTTGAGGCTTGGCAGGGCAAAAGGGACGCTTCTCGAGGTGAGGCAGGGCACCCAAGGACCCTTTTCAGGAGCCACAGGGATTTGAGATTCATAACATTTTTCAAGAGGAGTCAGGCATCGTGACATTTTGAGGCAGTGAACTCCGCCTGCCTCTCGAGCTGCCATATGGATGTGAGGCATTCCGTCAATGAGGCAGGGACCTAGAGCTCTGCTAAGGTCTCGACAGGGGATTCAGACATCCCTTCATGTTTGAGATGAAAGACGAGCCTGTATTCAAGCCACTGCAAGGAAATCCGGCCTCCTTTCAAGTTAGGGCTTCTCGCTGTATATTCCACTTGAGGCAGCAAACTCGGGGTCCCTCCCACATTCCTATTGCTGAGGAAGCCTCCTCTCTCGCTGTCTCTGGAAAGTTGGCATAAGTTTTGAGTCTAAGCCGGGGAATCAGCTCTCATCTCGAGACGATTAGGGGTACACGGAACATTCCTCGAGTTGCTGTGCTGAAGTTCGTGTTCTTCTAGAGCTGGGACA